CCCCAGTCGGGGAGCCGAGAAACCCCAACGGAAGCCAGATCCGAGCACAACCTCTCTAACCCTCTGCGCCATGTCATAGCCTGCCCACCTTGCTGTTTCTTCCAGCCTGGACCGATGTCTGTGAATAGTGCATGGTGTGGCAGACGGTGCTCAGGCATTCGTAGGACGTGCCCTAGCCACCTAAGACGATGCTGTGAAATTATTTTGCTCAAAGGAAGACTATCTGGTCCTAGCACCCGTCGTCTGACTTCATCGTTATTCACCCCATACTCCCACTATACGCGGGCGATGTTGCGCAGATAACGGTTGTCGAAGACTGATAGTCGCTGAACGTGATCTGCTCGGAGAGGCCAGGTCTTGCAGCCATAGAGCCCCAAAGATTCAGATTGTCTTTGTTTAGAGACACTGCGGGATATGACATCGAACCGAATCCATCCTCTCTTCTCTGCAATCCCCAAAACAAACAAAATTGGAAATTATTGTGACGAAAATATACTTCTTGGGTACAAGTATATGAATGAACCGACCAAAGATTACCCGATACGCATGCTCAACGAGCAGCCAGAACCGCAAAACCGGTCGTGTGCTTCCAGGGGAATTTTGTCTGATGAATCATATACTATTTATTATGAATTATATTTACATTGAGTACGAATGTTTCGGATAAAGATCCAGAGGATGAGGCGATCCTTGAAAGGTGTAACAGCTGTTCCCCATTATGGATGCTAAAATGTCCAGAAATATTATACTGTCCTTCCTGGTCTGCTGTTAGCATTTAATCAAGAAGGGTTAGAAAACTGAAGTTTCATCCACATGGCCTAGAACTCGGAGTCTGTAAGACTTAAACTGGAGAAGAGTGCAAGGGAATAAGTGATGGATAGACACGTCATCACATTCAGAACGGAATGATATATGAAGACAATACTTGGGGAACCGACGTTAAGTGGGGAGTCTGGAGTGGTAGGAGGTTGCGTTTCGTACAAAAGTAAGGCGAGAATCGGTTTGAAGGAAGTGATACACAGAATTATGCATCAAAACTGGAAAAGGTAACGATAGCTATTCTGGAGTAAGTGGAGTGCGTGTGTATTAATCCTGATTCGTATTCCTTTCTTAGTGGGAAGAGAGAACACCGAGCCTGATTCCAGTACGAGGAGTGGCGAATCACATAAGGCTTCAACACTGTCTCGGATGACACCAAAGCCGTATTCCTTACTCATCAACGAGTTCGACATCACGATAAATCTTAACTCATATTTTCCTCAGAAAAATTCTTCGCAGCCTACCTGACTACAACTGCTACTAACTTGATACTTATCAATAAACGATGAAACTGAGTCGGTCTAAAATATAACCCATCAAATAACCCACAGGTTTATTTTCAATTAACAGAACCCATCAGTGTTTCAAGTATTCTTTGTATTGATCTATTGTTGGTAAGAATGCTCTTGAAATACGACCACAAAATGGCACGCTAATTTCATTTGCAGCAAAACATCGCGATAAGACCCAAACCATTTTCTTCACTTTTAACATAGCCAAAAGCCTGTATTTGTTCAGACCGCGGAATAATTTTTTACGGTAAGTGCACACTTTCACCGCAATCAGTCCTGAGGTCAAACAGTTGACCTTTATGCAAATAGGAACAAGCTGTGCGAGGGTAGACCGGAACTGATATGACGTGGTGAACTGGATATGCGAGTCACTGACACGTGAAACCGGTGTTTTCTTCAGCATCCATTTGGCGCCGATATGCAAGTGTAAACGAATTATAAACCGGCACACCAGGCGTTACCGGAGATATTGAATGCATTAACGATAACGATCGAGCGCGAATACAACGAGGACAGAATGAAGTGATTCACAAAATTTGTTCGATTTTAGTTGTTGGATAAGTCACTTCAAACTGTCGTATTATTTCAATTCTCAGAACCTTGTTTTACGAAGCCCGTCGACATACTAGGCGCCAAGGGCACATTCCAGTGTCAACCACTTCACACACTGAACCGGGAGAATCAAGCGATTCATGTAGAACTACTGATGACGTTATGCAAAACCGAGTTGCATGGTGCATACGAATGAATTAACGGATGGTTAAAGAATAAAGAAAGCCTAAACATCATATGTTAGATTTTCGCCACACTGGGTAGGCAACGGTAACGAGTGAATCTAACGAACTATTTGCATTACTGCATCATACATATAACTGACAAAAGCTCGATTACATTAACTGTTCTGCGAGTGTTTCACAGTTCGACAGGCGAGTATGTTGACGTTGGTCTACTTCTAGCAACTCTTCAGTGAGGATAAGCAGACTCAATGAACAGAATCAGGTTTCATTGACGTGTGATCCAACAGTTTGTTCCACAGGGGGTCTGTGCACAGTCAAGTGCAGACTGCAAGGCATCGATGTGCTGGTGCATGGTGCAGTGGCTTCCTAGGATCCCATTCGTTGTTCGCTAGACGTGGATCCAACGTAGAGCGATTCGTGCAATCCCGCTAGATGTCATCCTAAATGATTCTCTTGACCTGGGCAACCTGGCAATATTCCGTCTACATGAAAATCGTGGCGTTTTTTCATTTTATAAAGATTATTGTACCGTGATTTGTTAGACACGTAGTCTGAACTCAGACGTATATTTACATGAAATGAGCAAGATGTATATGTACGTACCTCAGCCGTCAATTTGCGTGTATAATTAGCGGGAAAGAGTCCGGAGAGTTTGCTCTTCTCGTTGAATCCCTCGTACCAGTCATCGCGGATAGCATGTACTTGAATCACATCATTCACAGCCAGGTTCAAGTCACCAGGCACGGTAGATTCATAGGGATATAGCGCTAGACAAGCGAACAACGGTTTGCCCGTTCCAGGATCGTTTTCGGTGGATTTCGACTGACTATCGTTCACGCAACGATCTGGTTGAGCCGGCGGAGTTGCACTATGTGCCAGTTGGTGCGCGCGTGTGCGTACGACAGAAAAAAAGCCGCAAAAAGAAACACGTGAGCCGTAAAGGCAGATAAATTGGCCATTGATTAGGAAACGAGGTATGACGAGTAATGGGAAGTGAGAGGGAGAACAATGCATCGATTCAATAAAGATCACATGCGATGTATTGAGCAAGTAGAACGAAATTAGTCAATAGCGGAGGATGGTAAAATTTCGTACAGCACGATTAAATGTCTGAGGTTTATAACAGTGAATAAATCACAGGAGGACACATGAGGCCCACCGTACGCCATAGCGAGTATACAGTGAAAAAGTATACCGCAGATTGCACAGGCTTAGACAAGAAGCATTACAGATGTAACAGGGACATGTCAAATCAGACCGGGAATCGCATTCGTCTAATGAGATATGCCACACAACAAAAAATACAATGAAATTAGGTGAAACTATTTCGTCCCGTACGGAGTCGAGAATTTATGTTGAGCGGTTTCATTGATCGGTTTGAGAGAAAAGCAGAGAAACGTCTATGCGTAAATTCGAACAAACAAGCAATAAGAACATCGGTCTTGTTCATTTCACAACACAAATCTAAGAAATTATGGTTGAGGACCATAAAACTGATGAACCCCGCGAGAAATAATCACAATCAGTTTCATCCTTTGTAAACACTGGAAAAAGAAATCTCAGTAGGTAAGACTAAAACATACTGTCAAGCGTCGATCACGCTATCACTTAAGTGAGCGCTGTCGCAAGCAATCAGTAGATGAGAATGAACAAGTTTAGCACTGAAACGCATCATTGCAATCTGAATTCCCTTGCAGATTCGATTGGTGTTGCCTATGAAAATGTAGTTGCTAGAGCCAGAAAAAAACCGATAGACCAAGGCCAGCTGATTGATCTATTAAGAACTTCGCGTAGCGATCAAGCCGCAGCTCTTTACTTGACTTAGACTGTCTGTTCATCATTTTTCTAACCGATTCCCAAACCGTCTCCGCTGGCCGCTGATGTTGCACATCGACTGGAATAACTACTGGCTGCAATGTCAATTTTAACTTCATAATGGCCACCTTTGTTAGCGACGTTCTATGGTTCTTCCTAAAGCTTTTCATGAGCTGATAGCGAGAAAGTCATAGTTCTGTTTTAATTTCGTTTGATAGGGATTTGATGCGTCCGTACAATCGTCGATATGAATTCGTGGGTGATTCGATCAACATGCATATAAGATCACAATATAATATAAATAATATTATCAAATCAAGTCAGTACTCGCGGAGCACCATGCCATCGTCTGTCGATAGCCATGTTAAACAACCCGGTAGCACGAGAAACAAAGTTACAGGACCTTATGTTTGCCGTGAAAGTTTTTGCGTGCAAAAGAAAAATACTAATAAGATCCTGGTGTCGGTGACTTTAGGAGAACGGGGGGGGGGGGGGGGGAAAA